CATGTGATGATTTTACTATGAAATCTATCACGTGATCATATACAAAGTGACCTAGGTCACTTCAAAAAAAGGGAAATTTGCCAACACGAGTTCCAGGTTTCTATAAATCAAGAGATGATCAGCCAATCAGATTTCACCTCCCTTATCTATTGACATTATAGCTAAGCCACCGTTATTATTTGATTAATCATCATTCATGGCGCAGTGTATTTTTTTCATTAGCGATGATCGATGCATTAAAAATACATACTTAAGTAAACTTTATAAAATACTTTATTTATTAGATGCGAAATTATAATACATATGCGGGGCAATTTGGTGCAGTAGTCACACTATCGGCAAACAATTTGATGCCAGCGGATGTTCTTATAAACTCGAGACATAGCTTGTTACTTATTAAAACTTCTAATATCATTTACTCTTTTTTCACATCCCTCTGCATATCGATACTAGCACAAAATTTCTTCCTGATTGGCCTTTGCAACACGCAATCCAGCGCGAATTGCTTTTTGACGTCTGGCTAAGCTCTGGAAGACAGAAGTACTTACAACATCATTGTCATCGACTTCGGCTTGTTCACCCTTGACAGACGTAGATAATTCTCTCAGCAGGCCCTGGAATCTTTCTTGTTCGTGGGGAGGTTTATCTCGACGAATTTCTCCTGATTAGGTTTCATTTTCTTGTATGCTAACATCATCTGCGCTATCTGGTTCCTCTGGGACCTCTTGATTCTCTGGATTTCTAGAAACAAATAAAAGTTTGATGAGAAGTAATGGGATACTCCTGCTATCTGGTCAGCACTCTAATTGCTCTGCATTAGTATACATGGCCTCTAAACGATCAAAAATAATAGTATAAAGGATTGATACCAATCACTCGCACGGAAGAATATTTGGTTGCATTAAGTGTTTTAACTTTTATTTGTAATACATTGATGCTGGGCGCCTTCATAAATTCGAAGCCAAAAAACAAAGTATAGTTATTCATCTTTTTCTGGATTGCATGAAAAATACGATTAGCTTGTGATCCTGAGTCGTTCATTGAAATGTATAGTCACAACCGGAATACTCCTATGTAATGTCTCGTCCGAAATTTTTTTCGCTGGCACTTTTTCATATTGCATATTGCGGTACGTGTATTTGCAAAATACCTTGGTAAATGTATGCGCTAGAAAAAAAAATATAATATGTGCGAAATCTGATCCTCACATGCACGCCTCTATGATAGAGAACAAAAATAAGGAAGTCTTTGAGAAACGATTAATATGTAACCAGCTCAAGAGCGAGAGAACTCTGTGATGAAAATTGTTCTTAGTATATAGCATTACAAAAATCCGCATATACTTCCGGAACATTTTAAAGAGATAGGACTTATTAAAAACTTTAGCGATAAGAGTAGTCAATTACATGCATACACATTGTTAAATACAATGCGCATCCCACATACTGTACACGTGTATAAAAAGCTCAATACAAGTATTTTTCAACATCATATATGATTATCGCATAAAACTTTATTTTTTCACTAAATTAATAAAATTACGATATCATTTGTATAGTACAAGTAATATTCACGATTTAAAATATTTTTTATCATTTCTGCCAGATCGAATTGGAGAATTATCAAGATCACTATCTTCATTTGCATCTTTAATACCGATTTTGTGTCTATCTTTATTTGGTGTAAATGGATACGCTGGAAGACTTCCGGAAAGTTTTGATGATTCAAACAAATTATCATTATGTTCATTTCTCAGCTGAAATATTGTGTTGGAAGTTTCCAATAATCCACACTGTGTATCAAGAGACTAGTAAGGTAATGACGAAGTATTACAGAATAATTATAAGCCATATACAACATACTGTACCTTGAGATCCCAAAGGAGGACAACGAAATCGAAAATATGTTTACGATTTTCTTCATAACAAATCGGTACAATTGACTTATGCGATCTTTCGTATTGAAGAACACCGCAAGACGGGTTATACATCTGCCATAATTCAATGCGATCCTCTATAAAATGCAGGAGTTAAATAAAAATTATTGAAAAATAAGAAAAAAAATTTTAAAAATACTTACCATAGGTATGTAACGAAAAGACTTTTTTAACTTCGAAAAAGTTTCAGGTGAACCACCCCGAAACTGCTCACCAATTTCTTCCAACATATAAGAGTTACCAATCGGTAGCTCACAGCACCCATCCCAAGTGGAACGAGGAATATCTTTATGCCCAAATCCTCCACTCATTCCTAAGTGGCCTACTTCCATTAATGATTTTCTTAATTTTACGGTAAAGACACCATCAGATTTTTGCTCATAAGAGCTGGTACATTTTCGTCGACTTCTGCAAGATTTAACTGATGATAAAATGACTTCCCCCCTTAAATAAAACTATGTCAGTATACAATATTTATCAAACATCAAGTATCACCCCAAATAAAAGCTACTTACATATGATAATATAAACGATCTTCTTAAGCCGACAAGTATTTTTTTTAAGCAAGGATGTATCAGATAACCTCCGTAATCAGCCTCTGAAACATCTGGCTGTTGTATAACAGAATCTTCTATAAAAACATATTTATGGAATAAAGATAAAACTTTCGCGAAAAAAGCAGTGAATGTATCTTCAGGATATAATATTGAACACGTTATCTTAATATTTTCCAAAATAAGATCATCTTCACCGGAATTCTGGCTAGTAATATCTTCCAAGAGATGAGCTTTTAATTTGTCTCTTTTGAACTTTTTTATTTCGAGTCCCAAAGATTTTAATGATTTTATTTTCAAAAGTTCAATAATATCTTTTGGAGGACTTGTAATACTTGGGCGTTTAGTAAAGCTTTGTATCTCGGTGTACTCTTCATTACTTAACCATTTCGGTTTTGCTATCTTGAAACCACAACGGATGATTCTCCAAACCTCTGGTCTCAGAGGATGTCCTTTGACATTTGATGCTTTCTCTAGCAAGTCAGTAACTACCGAACCAGATTTTAATGTACAACAATTCCAAGAATCATAATTGAAAGAGCGTTCAAAATAAGGAATCATGACTTCATTAGTTTCTTTAAGTACTAATTAGCCGATCCAGATTTTCTAAATTACCCTGTATTAATATGCATACTCTCGAGAAATAAAAATTAGTATGTAGATTCCAGAGGAATTATACCAATCACTCCCACACGAAAAAAAAATTGACTATCCCTCCTTCGGCCGATCGTATATTAATTAACTTTCTTGCCTATTCCCGGAACCCCTAGCCGGATTTGAGGAATATCTAGGATAAAATGTATTGAAAAATAGCCAAAAAATTACAGGCAAATTTGCCTTGAAAACAATCGAAGGGATATTACTCGGGTAACTTAGTACCCTAAACGTTTTTTTTTTATTTGCAATACATTGAGCCTGGTCCTAAAGGGACCGCTAAAAATAAATTACATGATGCTGGATACATGACGTCTATACTAATGTCTGCAGACTAAAATACATGCGAAGTGCCTTACGGCTGATTATTTTTGAAATACCCTTGAACCCTCTGTTTTTTCATCGCCGGTTCCTTCTCAACATTATTATTCCATAATCCATTTTCATTTATGCCTTCATGATGCTAAAGAGATCCTCCAAACCCTGGAATGAAAAGATATTAGCTAGGTATTAGTTTACAGCTCTGAAGACGCTTCCTTGCAAATATACTGCCACAACCGAGCGAAATAAGTATTCCCACCTTAATTGCGCAATATCTTGTCCGGATCTTCGTCTCCAGTTTTTTTTTCGCCGGCACTTCTTCACACTGCGATATCGTGAGTATGCTGGTCCTATTGTAAGGCTTCGGAAGAAATGATTTAACGTTCGGTTTTTGTTAGAAAAAAAATACGAATAAAGTGCCTTATATGGGAAAATCTTACGTCGCACAGCCCCTATTCTTCGGCAAGAATTTTACCGATATCTTCTGCGCATAATATATAAGCCACCCACGTGATTCGAAAAAAAGAAATAAACCGTCTATGCGAATATTTTCAATGTAATTGATTCGCCAAATAATTCTCCTAAGCATATACCGGAGAGATGATCGGACTCGTCAAAAATGCGCCTAAAACTACATACGGTTATTTTTGATGGTAATGCCACAAGGGCGCAGTTTAAGAAATTCGGTTTAATTTATCTCCCGAAATCACATTACGGCTAAACAATCTGGGGAACTATTTTTCCGGTGGTTCACGCGTCAAAATTGCGCAGAAGAATGACGCAGTACTGTATCATTGAAAAATAATCTCTGTGAATTATTTTCCGCGATGTTTGGCAAAAAGAAAATAAAGCCCGAAATGGGCGTATAATAGCCGAGTAAGGACACGTCACTAAGGCGCAGTATTATGCGCGGTTTCGGTAAAAATTTTCCAATACACGCCCCCAATACAAGTCCCAACACCACATAATTTACACGTTAAAAATACAAGTCTTATATGTGAACAAAACTTTATTGATATTAAGTGAACATAAGAACTTCATCTATATCCTCTGGTATAGCCTTTAAGTCGTAAAAGAAGAAATCATCAGGTAAATACAGCCAATCTTGTACCCTTTCAACATTGTCAATATTATCAGCTGGGCTTGAGAAATTTATTTTTTTCCGCAACTTCTCCTGTTGCGTAAATTCGGTTCGAATGACTGCAAAGAATTGAAAATCTTTGCGTAATTTGAAATAGAATCAAATGAAAAGGGGATTGTGCAAGTAGCCAATTCAAGTGCTAAATATTTCTTCTTGTCTGCGAGAGAAACAGAAAATAGTGTAAGACGGTCACCAATGATTTGAATATTGTAGGTCTTCACTCCTTTAGCATCTTTGATGCTACAATTCAGATTGCTACCAAATAATTGGCAGAGGTTACAGACGGACATCATCAGCAATTTCTTTACATCACCAACAGTGTGTGCTTGAGTATTCTTAAACGGCGGTCCCGAAACTTCAGTATTCATCACTTCCATACCGTCTGATAAACGTAGAACAAGTAAGTCCGTCTTTCGTGGACTAATATTATCTGCAAACATACTATTCGCCACTTTTATCGAAGCTACATCTTTCTCGATCCACTCGTATTTAATATCGGGAAATGCGTTTCGAAATGCACGAAAAATTGGAGATAAAGATTCAACAATGAAAGTTCGCTCAGAAATGTCACGATCCAGAATTCTCGGAATTTTAAACATGAAATTTGCAGAAAAATCTAAGAGAGTGTATCGAATAAAAAAATTAAACCTCGCCTCCTCACTGTCACCTTTGACCGTTGTCATCTCAATGATTTTTGATTCGATCTCGCTGTAATCAGTCTCAAATATTGCTTCTAGCTTTCTGACTAAAGATTCTTGTAAGATTAATTGGTCGTTCGTTTGCAACATCTTTTTTATTTCCATAAAAGTTTTCTTATCGGTAGTCTTTTCAATGTAATTTATCGTTGCATTGAATGCACAAATAAGGTATGGAGAATATTCATTGCACATCATCTTCGTCACAATAGGTTTGTTCGGAGTTAGAATCAAAGCTTGTTTTGCGGATTGAACTGCTGAACACCGATCAATATCTGCCGTGTCTAATGATGTCATGGTTTGTTGGGCTACTGAAATTGTTGTTACATTAACATGACTTCTACTAGGACTAGAATTTCTAGGATGTGGATTATTAGGTTCTACTTTGGAATGATTATTAGATATCATTGGATTTTGTAGTACCCGGAGACCACTACCATGACGAGAAGGTTTTGACTTTTCTTCTGAAGTGTTGCCTCGCTTAGTTCTTGATTTACATTTATACTTAATAGATTTCAAAAAGTAATATGTGAAATGGATGATATATGCTGAAATACAAACGTTATACTACTTACCCTCTTTTTTGATTTTTCTTCAACGTAATCTGAATCCGAATTCGTTTCAGCGTCCGATTCAGCATAATCTACTATGCTTCGTTTTCTGGGTACCCTTCCTTGAGTAAGAGTTTCTTCTTTCTAAGGTATATATATCATAAAAATCAAACATACATTTCTAGTTACATATAATAAATCAAAGTTTTAGAAATAAATACCTGGTTCTCCTTATTTACATGCTTCTTTCTTCCGGATTTCTGTAGTAGTATGCAAGAGAAACGTATGTGAGTAAGATTATTAACATAAGGAAGGTACGTAGCCGATTCCTCCTCCAGAATCAGCAGACCTTAATCAAAGAATCTCATAGCAAGATGTGCACGCCACAGCAAATGTGAGACTTGTTTGTTATATTTTTTTTTTTATTTTTATTTCTCTTCTTTTTTTTTCTTACAAGCACTCGCATGTCTGGACGCTCTTCTTCCCCGTTGCCGCAGAAAACAGGGCGTAGCACACTCACTATGCTCGTTAGCATTTCTACATGTAAAAACACTAACCTTTAACTGACACTTCAATGCCGATGCCTTTTGATACTCTTGCGTTTTTGGTTCAAGGCACTCTATCAAGGTATCAAGCTCTAGAATTAACGCACTATATGAACCTCGCTTCTCTCCGCAGAAATATTTATTCCAGGTGTTCACACTCCATTGAGATTGGGGTCTTTGCCAATATTCAGGGTGTCTAAGTTTACGTGAAACAACATCTGATAACATGACAATTGAAAAAAAATGACGAAAGAACAAACGAAGAAAGAGAAGATACGAATCATTAAAAGTATTAAAAGGATAAAAGTTTATTTTAAATATTTTAAACGCGTAAACGCGTTTATTACGTGATAGACGACATGGTTGAGTTTATGTCTATTCACAAAATGATCGACACTGTGGATTTCTAAACTAGATAATTCTGCGGGAATAGTTGATTTTCTATAGAAAACGGATATCGTACAACACGAAACATAAAATCAGACTTAATCTGTAAATTTACATATCGAAACTGCCATGTTTCTTTTAAATTGTTTAACCAGTTGTATCATCATGACGCAAAAAAATAAATTCAAAGAATAACTTAGAATATTTATCTGGCAATTTAAATGTAAATTTGCGGTTCATGTATTATGAGTTTCTGATTACAAGAGAGCGAAACTTTCAGATGCTTGACGTATTCTTTCTGGAATGACAATTTCCGGGTTTTGGTCATACCATACCTCAATAAGGAAAATTCCATTATCTTGACATATGCATCGTTTTTGCCGATCACGATTAACGATATCCTCAAGTTTTTTGACATCTTTATACCAGCTGGTGCTATGAAACCGATGCTGAGCCCCTTGCACCTCCAATGCAATTCGATATTTTTGGAAGAAGGCATCAAGCTCCAATCCGTTCAAGAAAGGAGGGCGATATTCGATCATAGGTTCCTCATTAAGAATTTCCTTAGCTATCTGGATGCATCTAGTCTGGAATTTGCGATTCTTCTTAGATTCTGATTCTTTTTTAAGTTCATCAATATCACGCCTTAATTTTGCTACCTCAGCTTTAAGCTCATAAATCTTAATATCACGCTTAATATTTTCAGCATCAGTATCTCTCCTACCCTTCTCTAACTCCTTGATTCTGCTCTCAAGCTCGGATGTCATAATTATAATATTTTATGCACAACAGGAATTATTCAATGTTATGTGGCAAATGTAAAAAAATAAATTACAGTTTTGTGGTCGCAGGCCTCAATGGATATATGACAAAAAATCTATATGCTAATATACAGTACATGCTAAGAAATACAAGGGCCGGTTATTTTTTCACCCAATATTCATCTACCCTAGCCCTGTGTAGCAATTTTGACTTTCTTGTTTTCATAAATATCCCAGGGACACATAAGATAATAAAAGTTATTTTTGTCCTGGCAAGTCCAGTCACCCCATATACCCTGATGCATGTGAACACTCTTACATGCCGGGCACTTGGCCTCAGGATCGGTATATTCAAAAGCATCTCGACACCAAGTAATTGATTTATTCCATGACAAGAAAGGGAAGCGTTTATTCACAGCATCGAGGATGGTATTCCGGTCTTCAGGGAATTTAGATATCTTGATAGGCACATGTGAAACTTGAGGCGCTGGTGGAATAGGCCCTTTTTCTTCACATTGCTTTCTCGCTTGTGCCTCCGATGCACTAATCTGATTGGTTTTCGAAATTCGAGGGGTAGGAGTACTTACCCCGACATCTGGTGATTTTTTCGATCCAGACTCATTCGATTCAGCCAGTAGATCATGTGAGCGTGAAGAATTCTTCACGCCGATCACTTTTTGACATTCTGCAGTGTAAAGGTTTATTATATTTTGAATTTGTGCACCCGTTAAACTTCCAATAGCATCGACACTGTATGTAACTAACCTGATTTTATCTATTCCTATTTCTTTAAACAGTGTATAAATATTTTTAGCTTTTTGAGTCATCTTGCGTAAATTCTCTCTCTTCTTACCTAGAAGGTAGGGCTCCATTTCATCGTAAATTTGCGTTCTTGCCATTTGATCACTAATATTGTTTTCAAAAGCAATAGTTATGGCCTTTTTTTCGAATTCCTCACTATAGTAATACCAACGTAACTTTTCTTTCCGACTAGTTTTTTCGGCCTTATCAAATAAGTGAGCTAAATGAGTTATAGAACCCGAAGCTAATTCAGAATCGACTGGAATTTGTTTACTAGATGTAGTAGAATTCGGTAAGGATTCATGGCTTCTAATGAATTCAAGTAATTCACATACTAAACCTTTTTCTACTTTTTGTTTATAGGGAACTTTCCCGTCCTTACTATATTCAAAGCCGGGCGAAGTAACACATGATTCAGATGATAGACTGGCAAGATAAACATCTTGTCCATCTTTTTCGTTCAAGGGAATGACAGAATCCTGAGAATTGATACCAGAGATATCGGCTATGAGTGGCTCTGAATCCAAATTCTTCTCCTGGGAATCATCTTCTCGAAGTTTTTTCTCCCGCTTCCTTTGTCTTATTTTCTCACTAATCCTTTTCTTATGTTCTTCATCCAAGAAAGCGTCCATCTCTCTGTCCTCTAACAACCCCCCTTGATCTGGTAGCAAAACTACCTCTTCGATCTGTGGGTGAGAGTCAAACCATTCTGATTGCACAGCCCTGGATCTCGCACTTCTGATAAATTTAACTGATTATGAACTTCGTGAATAGGCGGGGGCTTACACTGTTTGGGCTAAGCTATAACTGAGTCAGGTACGTTGACAGATTCTTCGAGAATAAAATCATCTATTACCTTATCTGGTACCGATTGCTCTGCAATCACCTCAGGTACCTCTTCCATTGACTTGGTGTTGACATCATTTTGCTGGTCTATTACGGAGTCAGATTCATCAACGGCTGATATTTCTGCTATTGTTTCCCTATCGTTCTGTGACTGCCCATCCACTACCGAGGATCCCTGTTTCAACATCAAGAGTCTGGTCTCAAGTTCCGTATTTTTTAGTTCTAATTCCTCGACTCTAGCATTACGCTTAGCATTCTCATCCATAACCTGCTTTAGAAGCTTGACATTCCTAGCCTCAATCTCAGCTTTCTCAGCCTCAAGCTTGGAGTTCTTAGTTTCAAGCTCGGCAATGCATTGTCTCAATTGACATGATCTATAAAATTATACACTGTACATAAGCATTCAAAATAAAAAAAATCACGTGCGCGTGAAGATTCTTCACGCCGATCACTTTTGCCAAGAAAATTTTTTTATTATTACATGCGAAAAATAAATACAAAGATCGGAACGTAGCCCGGGATACATGACGATTTTTTTTCTATGCTAATGCCCCTATTATTCTGTTTTTACCCGCTTTCCATCGACCAATGATGATTTTTGCTGATCAAAAACCCATTTGATTTGCCCAAATAATTTCTCGATAGGTCTAACTAGGTCATCACGGGATAATGATGAGTAGTTGATAGGTAGAGGTGTAGGCGTAGGCGAACACAAAAAAACTTCGACCGGATTCCCATCACCATTATCATTCCCATCTCCAATACCACTTTGAACTTTTATTATTACCCAGTCGACACCTGAAATTGGATATCAAATAAAAGAGTTAGTAATAATCGCATTGATTTTGATCAAGTAGGACATTTTTCGAATTTGTTTTACAAACATACCAGTTGAGACAATGCAGTACATTACACCTTCATACAAATCAGCATCATCATAAGTACGTTTTTTGCGATTGCATTGCATAGATGCATGTGCTTAGACAGTACTCTGGGCGATGCCTTGGTTAATATCTTCTCGTTTTGCTTCAGTTATAGAAATAATTACATCTCCCATTTTGATCACCCAATCTATGGGTCCTTTTCCATGACTTCCAAAGACTTCATACTGGGAATAAACTTTTACAGTACCATCGAAGATGGACGCCACACCATATATAATCGCAGAAATAAATTCACAGCGGGTGGCCTCATTCGCGCTAGTGATGGGTGGGGATGCCTTGTGCATTCTTAAAAAATCCTCAATCACACTATTCCTGATTTCTTCTGGAGTTGCTGAACTTCTAATCTCAATACATGGTAATTGATCATAGCTATCAGCCTTCAAACCGAAAAGAACCTTCATCTTGGGGAAAGTATACGAAGAGAAAGGTTGTTGCGCTACAAAAACAGCCATGCATAAATTAACTGATCAGACATTTAGTAGAATCGGCACGTGAATATCCTAAATATCTCGATAATACTTACACGTATCCACAACTATTTCTAGATTCACCTTGGGGTCAACAGTCCAGATAATGCTCAATAAATCCTCATCAGCAGAAAACTGAATAACTTTACGCTCTGTCACAATCTCAACCGTATCACTTGCATTCTGGGAACTCGAACTTACTTATTCTAATTTTCTACGCATTTTACCTGTCGAAATTTTTCTCTTCAAGCCAGCGCCACCTATTACACGACCTATTACGATATGCTCATTCTCTGTCCCGTCTGGAAACGTGAAATATTCACAAAGCTTCTTCTTAAAACCTTCCAATGACACCATTTCTCGGCTCACTGTCCATTGAAAATTCGCACTCTTACGCCCATACGTTGCGGTGCAGTGAACTTTTTTCGTCTCAACAGGACGCTGTATGATTATATGTATGTGCTCGTCAGCTGGCTGGGAGGGAAAGTGTTTGCTAATCTTCGAAAGCGGTTTCAACTCTTCACCTTCAAGTTCGTCCTTGATATTAACGTTAATTTTTCATTGACGAGCTTAAGTTTTTCGTTTTCTTCTTCGAAGCCTTCCATAGCTTGAGGTCTTTTGCCTTAACATTATCGTCAATTTTTTCCTTGATAGCGTCCCTGAGATGCCCAACAGTCTTAACTTTGTTAGTATCAATATCAACTGGAAAAGCATTTTCATAAGGGTTCTCACCCACAACCAAACAACTGAGTGTGATAGTTGACATAGCGCTTTTATAGGGATATTTGGTTCGGACAAAAAAAGTGTGTTACGTTCCGGGGGTGAGATAAAAATTTATTTCTGTTCGGGAAAGAGAATACTGGCCATTAATATAGGCTTTATGTAGTACAGATCTTTCATCATTACACGTGACCCATTTCTCATATACAGTACAACAATACTTTATTTATGAAATAAATTATTGCCAGAAGTCGGCCTACATTACATAAAAAATACGAATAGAGGTCTGACCGGAACCGCTTTACATGATACGAATGAAAATACTAATCATCTGTAGGAGGATATACGATAACATTGACCCCCTTTTCGCCTTGATATTTAGAAGAGGGTTGACCATTAAAATAACTTAAAATGGTGTTTTCATGCTTCATCAATTCCGTACCACTCAATATATCCCCTTTATCATTTTTTAAGCTGAGAATTATGACACTATCAGCTTCAGCCTTATTCATATATAAAATTAGCTTGCTCGAATCAGTATTCTGAAATCGGTCTAGACGACGGTTTCTGATTACATTCGCAAGAGTAGAAACTCTATTATTACTACCGTTAAATACCGTTACATCGAAAATAGCTTCCTCATCGGAAATAAGACAATTGAGAGTAATATCCTTTCCTTCGAGAAACTTGTCAAGCTTGTCAGGCTTATTGGGAACAGACTTATCAGACATCTTGCTTTTCTAAATATAAGACCCATAGTGAGAAAACTCGCTCCCATATATACATAACTTCTAGCATATACATACCTTATTTTGCGTTATTTTACGAGAAAGTTTTTTTGCGGAAAGTTGGCTAAACTTCCACATATTCCTACATGCTTTATATCTTGCTGGGAAAAAGTTAAGGAGATATGAGGCATAATTAGTATTGTCGTATGATGCCAAGAGCTCTTTGAAAGCACATGCAAACGAAATCTTCAAACCTTTTCATATGTAGATCTACCGGAAAGACATAGTTGGTCTTACGCCTGGCGATCTTGAAATTGCGAGTCCCTCAGCCTTTCATAACATATGCTTTTGTTGTCACTATTTACTTATAGGGAAGGTCCTGTGTTGCATGTAGACCTCCTTTCACATTTTCTCACATTTGTTTGGGGAAAAAATAATGAACAAAAGTTAATATGTTTTCTTTTTCGAATATATATGCAAAAATTAATATGTCGCACAAAACTATTATGTGATCAGCCTATTTTTGTCGCACAGGAGTAACCCCGCTTGTAGCGCAAAAAATTCCGATCAATGATCACCATTCCGGCCTGTTGTTCCAGTCAACCAACCCTGGATCGGAATACCACTGCAAACTATCCCGCATACATAGAGATAAAAGGTTCTGAGCTAAATACTGATTATTAGCAACATTGTGCTGTACAAGAGGTCTCAAAGGGACCTGATAATCTCTAAATGCGCTAATAAAATCAGGAGGCGTTATAGTATCCACGAAATTCTCGATATTGATATTTGGATTAAGTGAAACGAGCTGATCTACAGCTTCTTTACTAATTTTATAACACCCTCTCAGATTAAGATATTTTAAATTAGGACATGATCTAGCAATTTCTTCAATAGTTATATCGCTAATTCCACAAAAGCCAAGGTCGAGTTGTTGGAGCCTTAGGCAAGAGTGAATAACATTACAAATTGATATTTCAGAAAATTCTGTGCAATTAGAAATATTTAGATATTCTAATTTATGGCATGAATTTGCGATTGCATATAGACCTTTGTCACCGTATCCTCAAA